ACTTACTAAACAGGGGCGATTTAGAGTTGATTTATCACTGAGCACTACTTACCCCAAGATCTTTTGGTGTGCGAATTATTTTATTGATCTGAAGATTTTGTTCTTTGGAATGTGGCCCTTTTTGGACCTAAAGCTAATCAGGAAACACTGACGGGGAGGTCGCTTTGTGATCACCTCGTCGACGTCCTCTGTGGGAACAGCGGACCGTAACCCCGAGCGCCCCCTGCGGTCGCCTAAGCTTTGCCTGGAACCCGTCAGCCAGGGTACTTTTCTCATAAGTGCGCCCAGGGAGCTGTCTGTGGTGCTAGGAAAGAGAAACCGAGCAAGGAAAGTAGGGAGAGAGACCAGGAAAAGCGGAAAGGAGAGAAACGAGAAAGCCAGGTTGGCTGAGGTGGTCCACCCACCAATACTCAGACTGACAGACACCTTCAAAATTCAGCCCGAAGGAGGGGAGGAAGAAAGTCCCTGCTGAGTCATCTGATCGTCTTGAGACAGCTAACCTGGTTTTCCAATGCAAGAGGCCAGTGACACTTCCCTTTCTCTGAAAGCACACACCCTCTATCCCACACGCTACATTACCCCTACTCAGCCATGGGGCTGTTCAGACATGCCAGAGGTCAGAAGGAAGGAGCACTGGACCCTGGCTATGTGTCCCAACTTCAGGGAAAGAAATTGTAAAGAGAAAGGCTGCAACTGGCTAAAGAAGTGGGACTGGACAAAGACCTGGTAGGAGACTCAAGGAGGCTGTTCCGGGGTCCACGGGGTAAACCCTAGAGAAGCCTGCACTTGCCGCTCTTCCCACATCTCGAGACAACTGCCAAGGCACAGGACAAGCCAGCTTTTCCTCTCCAAGGATCCAGAGCTATGGAGGAAAGATCAATTCCCTTGGAGGCTCACTCCTGCTCCTGATTATTCTCGCCAGTGACAAAAAGTCAGTTTCTTTCCAAGTATGTTGACTTCAAGCCATGCCTGGCTTTTTAGAAAACCAGGCAGCTCTCTTCCAGTATATTTTTGTAACCACGTGGCTTAACAGGAACTAAAGTTTCTCTAGCCCTAGGGAGAGCTTTTCAAAATATTTTTAGAAAGTTAAAAATATAGCAAAACAAACTACTCACAAGCCGCCTGTTTAAAGAGGAAAGGTGGGACTCGGCAGACTTCTGGGGAAGGGCTGCCTAAGCAGGAGTCAAATGTCAGGGAGGGAGGAGGAGGGAAGTCTTGGTTTGAGGGTAAACTGTTTCATTTGCAACAGAGGAAATCGGCTGTCTAATTTGCCATCTTGTGGGCTTTCATTTTAAGGGGTGGAGCAAAAATAAACTGACGCAAGGGTGGTAGGTATATTTGCTGGAGGCATGGAGGCAAGCAGCAATCATTGCTTTGCAACTCATTGAAAATAACTGGCTTGAGCTAAAATGACTGGCTGCTAGCTGAGGAGTTAACTCATTTCACACTCCCTGCAAATTTGTGCTAGGTTTGCTGAGGTTCCAAGAGCTGGTCTTGGGGTAGCAAGTCTCAGAGGCTTCTGTGGGTGTTTAAACTTTGCTCTAAAAGAATTTTGTGTTCCTGTGTTTCTGTAGCAAGCAAAGATTGCCACAGAAAGGCTGTTTTTTTTTGCCAGTCACCTATTTAAAGAAAGGAGCAAAACCAATGGTATCTAGTTGTAGAGTGCCCTTCAGACGCCAGCTGAAGGTGGGAAAAGAAAAGGAGTGCAGCTCCCAGGGACCCCTTTTCTCTGGGCCTTCACAATTAACTCTGGATCTTCCACGAGAAGAGACCTATGGCTGTTATCTCATTCCTTGCCTTTCAGAAAAATCTGGCGTTGTACTCCTCACCTCCTAGCCGGCTCTCCACCCTCAACTTTGTTGGGTAGCCACGGAGGACAGGAGGACCCATTTTAAAGGACAGGACTGGGTTTGCATTTGACTTTTAAGCAGTAGTTTGGCAATATGTAAAGTGAGAGTCACCTGCTGCAGTGCCCTTGGCAGTGATGCTCAGAAAGAATGAAGAAATCCAGGACTCAACTTTTTTCCTGGAACATCCCCCTACCGTCATCATCCAATTTGACAACTTAGATGCAACAGGAAGTAACCAAATTTAGAAAGAGAATTGGCACTTTCAGCGGCATTTTTGTGGGGGTGGTAATATGACTTTGAAGAAAAGCAAATTTGGGAGGACTCTGGTGAGTCTAGAGTAATTTCTAGTAGCGGTGGAATATGAGGTTCATTAAGAAACATGCCCTGGCTAGTATAGCTCAGTGGATTGAGCTCGGGCTGTCAACCAAAGGGTTGCAAGTCCCATTCCTGGTCAGGGCACATGCCTGGGTTTAAGGCCAGGTCCCCACAATGGGGCATGTGAGAGGCAACCACACATTGATGCTTCTCTCCCTTTCTTTCTCCTTTTCTTCCCCTCTCTCTAAAAATGAATAAATAAAATCTTTTTTTTTTAAAGAAACCTTGGTTTCTATAGATATAGTGCTTCCCCCTATATTGTCCATCTATGCAGTATAAGCCTTGGCGGTGAAAGGGCAGCACACAGGCTGCTCAGCAGAATAGCTGGTGAGCTGCTGGCAGCAGATGGGTGCCAGAGCCTTGTGTGTGTTTGTAGGTTTATGTGTTTTTTCCCAGCCAGGCCTGAGGTCATTTTTTGTAAGGAACCTGGGATGTGTGAACTCCAGGTCCCACTTGTGTCAAAGCTGACCAGTCCCAGGAGCAGTGCAGACAGAAACTACAGTACCCCCAAGCCTTGGAAAGTACCTTCTCAGGCCCAGGCAGACCATTTTGAATTACTTCAACTTGACTGTAAAACCGAGCAGCAGCTAAGATGGAACGAGGAGCGTCTGCTGAGTGCTCTGGCATTGGGCATCCCCACTAGTCACAGTGACACCCAGCTTCCAGCCCAGCCCAGCTGCCCGAGTTTACCCCAGCTCAGCCAGCTCAGCGGGAAGAAAAGGAAAAGGGGCAGTCCAGACCCTTTTGTTAGAATCAAACTAGACCAAGACCATTTTTAAAACAAATTGATGAGCTGGAGAGAAATCTGCAAACCACTCCCTAATTAGCAAAGGTCTGATTGAAGCGCCTGAGGCAATTTCCTCCTGGATTTCACTTCTTTCTTCCCTTCTTCTTATCCACTCCTCCCCAGTGCACACTCCCATGGCACTCTAAATTCTTAAAAATGTTTTGTAGCTCTGCTAAGGTCCAGACATCAGAGAAAGTTGGAGGATGGGTCTGGATGTGTTTCTGCTGCATGTCTCCCGCCTTTGACACTGTTCAAAGACAGGAATGAGGACTCAGAGATGAGGATACTCGATATGGAATCCTACTTTCTGGCTCCTCAGGATGTCGGCTAGGGGCTGGAGGAAGTGGGGGCAGCCCAGGAACTGCACCCCACCCCACTGCCCGCCATTCAGTTTTTCCCTCTCATATAGTCCTGAGTGCTAAGCATGGGGGGTGCGAGGCTAGGCAGGTATCAGGCCCTTGGAGAGTCACTACAACTATTTACACACCCATTCACACACTCCTAAAGCAGGCAGAGGGCCTCCTCCACTCTCTGGGCAGGTCCTCTCATTTTGTAGTCCCAGGTCCTCCAGAGGCTTTGATAAAAAGCTTGACATGCACATCTCGGCCAGAGTTGCTTTCCCTCATGAGGCATCCCAGTACAACCTACTCACGAGGACACGAGGCTCGGTGTGGGGTAGCGGCTGGATGCCTGCCCAGGGAATGAGAAGGCAAGGATCAAAGCCGCCAGGAGGGTTCGTTAGCTGGACCTCTCCGAGTCCCCGGGGCATCCTAATTGCGCGCCCTGCAGCCTCACGCTCGCAGGCTGTCCTGCGGAGCAGGCACCCGGCCTCCGGCTTTGGAACAGCTGCTAGGCCCGCGTAGCGTCCGCCCGCCCGCCCGACGCTGGGGACCCTGGCTGCCCCGGGAGGAACCCGCGAAGGAGGAGGGGGTGGACAGACCCAGTTCAGCTGGGGCTGCCAGGAGGCCGGGGCAGCAAGGAAAGTGGGCCGCTTACTTATTAATCACCGACAACCTACGACAGACTTTCTCCGTGGCCTCGCGGCTGCTCTGAAATCATCCACTTAAAAATAAAGAAAACCACACATATAAACAACGGCTCAAAAGAGGCCGGCATGAAAAATGGAGCTGTTTTTATACAAATCAACCCGACGTCTTTACAGATTTTATAAATTCCTAACATCCCGGAAAGAATTTTTTTTTCTAAATCAAATCGGTTACTTCATCACAGTACATTCTGTTTTAGTAAATCAGCTCCCTTGGATTTCATCATTTGTTAAAAAAAGATAAACTTTATTCTTGTAATTTTCAATCACAAAAAAATCTATATTTTTGTCTAAGCATTTATTTTACTGAATCAAAAAGACATGAAAAGAAAACTCATGTTTTACTAACATATATAAGTGACTCTTTTTTGGACAACATATAATAAATATGATATCTCACTTATCACTCAGTCTTTCGAATGTACATTTTTCTTCATATTACGGAGCATGCCACTTTTCCAAAAGAAAAAAGGTCATGAGAAATCAGTGCAAAGTTCTCAGTTACCCTCCTCTTTTCTCCGGGGCAGGCGGAATGTCCACAGCAACGCCCTCTGCCTCGGAATCTGAGGCTGTCTGTCCGTCTACAATTCTCCGTCTGTGCAGTTTCCTCTCCATGCCCGTCTTTCTTTCCTCCTTACCCCTCCCCCTCCCTCCCTCCTGCATGTCCCTAAAGTCATTTTTAAAAGAACTTGAGGTTTTGTTTTTGTTGATGTTTTCACTTACTGATCGCACTTTGTGTGGGGCCAGCGTTCTCACCAGTCACACTGCAGTGGGGGAGCTTTCCAGCCCTGTCTCGAGGGGTAGGGAGAGGGAGAGCGGAGGGCTGGCTCCTCTCCGGGGGCCCCGCCCAATGGTGAGTGTCTTCCTTTCTCACTTCGCGGCCTCCGGGGTCCGCTGCCAGGGAGGCCCGTCCGCCCGGTGCGGGGAGAGAAAGGACAGCAGTCCGAGTAGGGGAGGGAACGGGAGAGGGACTGCAGCGCTGTCCTGGTTCTTGTCCTTCACCGGGGGTGCGGGGTGCCTGGAATGGGGTTGGACAGGGGGTTGAGAGCCGGCTGCGCCCCGGGCCCCAGGCCGTGGATGAGCACGCGGGGCACCAGGGGCCGCTGCAGCGGAGGGTGGGGCGCGGGAGGAGTCCGGTACATGCTGCTGTACATGGCGGCGGCCGCTGCGGCTGCGGTAGTACTGTCCATGCTGCCCAGCAGGCTGGGATGGTAGAAGTAGGGCGAAGGAAACATCCTCTGCAGTGCCGAGTAGTTCCCTGCCTCGGCCAGCAGCTCCAGGCCCACCGCGGTCTGCCGCTTCCACTTGGTCCTGAAAAACAGTGGACGTGCACGCACCCCGCAGCTGTGGGCACGGTCCAGGCGCCAAGGCCCCTTCTCTCTCCCTCTCTCGCCCTTCCCCGCCTTCTTTTCCTGGGGGACGGGAGGCTGAGAGAGCTCCGAGAACCGGAATCTTGTGCACCTCGCACCCCACCCAACACTACCCTATTGCTCACAGTGACCAAAAGCCAAGTCAATTCCATAAATGACACTTTCGATGTCGGAGAATTCGCAAATGAACTTCTACAAGCTTTGCTGCTTCTTTCTGATCCTCGGCTCCTGGGTTGCCGCCACCCCTTATAGTTTGCCTACCTCCCAAAACTTTCCTGAAGGCCAGCTAAGGCCACTCTTTCTATAGGCGATCCCTTCCCTCCTCCTCTAATTCCTTTTCCCAGTGAGTGGCTCCCCAACAATCCCAGAGTCTCTCTGCCCCTCCCCCCCTTTCCTTGCGGCTGAGAGAGAAGAAACCGTAAACAAAGGGACACCGAGATTCCTGGGCCTTGGACCTGGCCCCTCTCAGTCCCCAGGGCTGTGGGGACACATCTCTCTCATCAGCCTGAAAGGACCTTACAGGAGGCAGGGGGCTCAGGCAGAGGAAGATAGCAAGGTTTCCAAACGGAATTCGTTTGAGGAAGTGCTCTCCCAAGGGGTCAGTACCTCCGGGCCATTTCAGGAGGGGGAAAATGCATTTCAAGATATTTTTTCCTTAGGGAGAGAGTAACAATTAAAAATCTGTGATCAGCTTTTCTCAGTCTTCTCCCTCGCCCACTACACTCTCCTTAAGAACAGGAGGAGAAGAGGCTTTGGCTCAAATGACTCATAAAGGAACTCAGGACTGGTGGGCCATCCATACCCGGCAGCTCCAGCCAAATTAATAAACATGTCGTCCATTTTAAATTGGCTACAAATGACACTAATGTTTTCCGACAGAATTAGGGTGGCTGAAACCGTATGTAATGAGACAGAAAATTATGGTAAAGATGACAACTGGATGGGCATTTCAAACCGCACTTATGGACGATTAGAACACAAACAAGAGAAAAGGAGGGGGAAGAAAAATCCAGACAAGAAAGACAACTATCTGGATTGGAAACACAGTATTTCCTCAGCCTCAGCTTGCCCAGGGTTTCCTCTACAGTCCAGGGGCCTCGCAAGCTCTGCCAGCCCCTTTCCCAATTTCCTGTGAGGTTCCTGGTGGGCTCTGAGGCAGCCAGTCGAGGGGACAGATCCTCAGTATGGATGCCTACCCAGTGCTGATTCATTCTCCCGCCTGCTGCTGCCTACCCTATCTGTCCTGGCTGCCTCACAGGCCAAGGCAAAGACATTTAAATCAAAACAGTGGGGCAGTTCTCCCAAGACCGAAATAGCTAGGCTGCGTGGCCAGCTACAGACACTTAGAACCAGTGTGCGGCAGGCCCAAAGGGCACACCTCTCAGGCTCCATAGGCCTGAGTGTCAGCTGCACAGATGTCTGATTTTGAGAAGGTGTGGCTTGATTGATTTCGGAGCAAAGTGGGTGGGGGGGACTTCCAGCCAGTCAGATGTGAGAGTAAAGTAGCACATGTTAAAACACTTAGAAGTGCAAAATTTTCTAAACTTCAGCTGCCTATGGAAAGCTCGCACCTTGGGGGAGTGGCTAATCCCTGCCCATGCTTGAAAGTCCCAAGTGCCCACTCCAAACCCTCTGAGTCCCTAGTGTCTCCCAAGGCCAGGAGGGAAGAAGACTAGTGCTATAGTCATGACCTGGATGGCCAGAGGCTTTGCTCCCTCACAGAGCCTCCCTTACCTGCGGTTCTGGTACCAGGTTTTGACCTGGGTGTCAGTGAGGTTGAGTGAAGCAGCCAGGTCCATGCGGTCCTGCACACTCAGGTACTTCTGCCGCTCAAAGCTACGCTCCAGTTGATTGAGTTGGTGGTCAGAGAAAGCCGTCCTGGCTTTGCGAGGCTTTTTGGCTCTCACAGGGGGACTCTCTCGGCTACTTGTAATCTCCCGGTCTCCTTCCTCCTTTGTTCCTATGACAGAAACCCAGGCACAGCTCAGCAAACTAGTCTGGAATAGGGAAGGATGGAGTGTCCTCCTGGCACACATTTCCACATTCCCAAGCCAGCTGCTAGTCTCTAGGGACTGTACTATGCCACCCTCCTCACACACACACACTTGGACTTCAGCCAGTATGGAGAAAGAGGACCAATTTCTGTCTAGAGAGAATGGAGCCTTGGTGTGGAGCTCCTTAAAAGGGTTTTAAAAGGGTATCTGATCTCTCCACCTTTGAAATTGAAAAAGAAAAAATACTTTATAATAAAGGGTCCTTTTGTTATTGTTTACTTACTGGAAGGGTGGGGAGACTCTGTCCATTTCCTTTATTGTTTTTCACTATGATTTCTTTTTTTTTTTTTTAGATTTAGTAGTTTTCAAAAGGCCTATTCTATTCCTTTTTTTTCTTTTCATTCGTTCTTTTTTTTTTTTGCAGAGGGGGCACCGTTTTCATTTTACTTTTTCTGTTTACTCAAAGTTACTGGCATTTGTTTTCCTTTATCAGGTACACTTGGGAAATGTTGGAATCAAGGTCTCTGCAGCTGCTTGCATCACGTCTTGCAAAGCTTCCGAAAGAATATGTCACCCAGACACCGAGCTGAGCTCAAAATCACTGAACCCATTCAGGTGACAGCCCAGAGATTTCCGGATTCCATTTGTCAACTTTGGTTTTTTACTGAAATGCTGGGAAATCGATATGTCAATCCCTCTCTGTTTGTACCCGTTTTTTGCTGCGCTCCTTGATCTTCCCTGCAGGAAGAACAATAATCTCTCTAATTGACCCACTGGGGAGGTTGGTGCACAAAAAATCACCAGACCAGACTGTACATCTGTTTTGGGCACTATTATGCTAATGCTGTAATAGTAAAATGAGGAGCCAATATCCTACCTTCCAGACAGTCCATGCACATCTTTCCTAGAGATGGCAAAGATTAATAATAATAATAGTAACAGTAATAATAATAGACCACCTAGTAAAGGAAAAATGAACTTTCCCGCTATGTTGAAATGCTTCTGTCATAAAGACCAGAACACTTATAAAACTACCTGGGAAAAAATGTGAAAAAGGGAGTTGAAGGACAATTTCGATTGCCATCTTCTGATTTTACCAAGAAATAGATAAATTCAATTCCATAAATTTTACTTTCATAAATGCTATGTCTCAATTACTAGTAAGGAAAACCAGAAATTTTACAAAAATGCAGATATTCAGTTGGGTCCATCGGGTAAGAAGGGTTTTTTTTTTTTTTAATCCTGAAAACCTGATTAAAATTTTTATCTTGTGGACTTCCCAATATTAACCAGGATCTAATTTTCAAGAAGTTGCTCTGTTAATCAACTAGGAAATTTTTCCTTCATTAAGTCTGATAATTCCTGTGCTGTTGTTTGGAAAATATGGTGTGTAGGGAGAATGAAATAATTTTCATTAAAGAGTAAGTACCATGTCGTGATCACACCCCAAGACACCACGCTAGCTAAGCCTGTTTCTCCCACGTCTCCCTATTCCCACTCACGAGGTCTCGGTTTTAAAAAAATCTCGAGTCCTTGCCTTTCATCAACAAAAGTATTTCCGGTCAGATACCCTCGCCGCTGGCCCTTTCCTAATAAATTAAAATTAAATAAAACAAAGAAAGGAGGTGAATGTTGGTGTGGGTTGAGAGGGAGAAATGTTAACAATAAGCAGAACTTCGGACGAGTCTTGAATCTCGAAACCGCACGCCCAGGCTTCCCTCCCGCCTGCAGTTTTTAATTGCGGTGCAATCGCCTTAGAAGGTGCCGGAGTAACTCCCCGTCAGAGAGATCTGCGGGAGACCGAAGGGGTGACAGGGAACCAGTAGGAGAAGCTAGACGGCTGAGGCCCAGGCGGCGCTACTCACCGTGGCATTTGATGTCGTTCTGGGAATCTTCCCGCTTGTCGAGTTTGGTTTTGCTGTCCTCCTGCTCCAGCTTTGGCCTGAAGCTCTCGTGGGCTGCGTTGCTCTCCTGCTTCGGGGTGTGGTGGGGAGAGGAGACGCTGGTGCTGTAGGGTGCACACGCTGCCAGAGGTTTGCTGTCGCCCAGGATGTCTTTAATTAAAAAAGAAGAGGTGGAAGTCCTGGGGGCCGAGGCGGCCGAGCCCAGCTGCTGAGCGGGTGGCTGCTGCGGCGGCGGCGGCTGCGGCGGCGAAGGCTGCAAACTTTGCGTTGGGGCTGCGGCTGCCGGCAGCGGCTGTTGGCTGTGGTGGAGGTGGTGGTGATGCTGGGGCCCGTCTGCTACCAGATGCGTCTCCGGAGGCTCCATGGTGACAGAGATGGGAGAGGAAGGCGCCGTTCCTACCGTGTCAATCTCTGAACAAGGGGATGGAGTGGCCTGATTTCTAAAATCCGCGGTCCTAGTCTCGCCGAGTGGGCGGAAATCTCCATTCATCATGCCGGGGCTGCCCGAACTGGCACTGGACAAAATCGTGTCTATTCCAAAACTCGACCCGCTGGCCCCTTCCATTGTTGTCATTTCTACATGAGGTCCACGCCACTCCGCCGCTCAGCAGCCGCCCCGACCAAGCAAAGAACGCTATCGATCGTAAAATGAACACTAAACAATGTTGTTGCCGCTTAAAAAAAAAAGTGGGGAGGGACGGAAGGATTATTGGGACGTGACAATCGGTGGACAGTTTCGACACAACTTTTTACCCTTTATGCAAAAAGTAAGGGAGGGGAAAAAGGAAGACCGGGGGAAAGTTACAAAAATTGTTGAGGAAGCACGGAGCTTGCACTCCAGGAACGACCGCGCATGTGGGGCGGCGGTGGTGGCGCGGGCGTCAGGAGGTGACCCCTGGGGCTGCTGCGCTGCCTCTGCCGCCGCCGCCTGGGTCGCTCACAGCCTGGCACCAGGCGGCAGCGGCGGACGTGTCAGGTGCAGCGACCCCGAAGCCCAGGCGGCTGCGCGCCCTCGGAGCTCCGCGGCTGCTCCCCGAAGTGGCTGTCGCGTACGCCTTGGCCGCCCCCGGAGCTGAGTTTCTGAACTTTCTTGCAAAGTTGTGGAGCAGACAACGCCGCAGTGGTCGCGGCCACAAGAGGAGGAGGAAGAGGAGGAAAGGAAGGAGCAGGTGCAGGCGGAGAGACGGCGGAGACGCAGCGCCGTGCGACTCCGGCTGCTGCCCGGCGCGTTCGCTTGTAATCCGGCTGCTGGCGGGCGGCGCCGACCCCCTCCCGTGACGTCACGGCCACTGCCGCCGTTCGCCGCACCGCGCCCCCTCCGCCTGGGCCGCGCGCCGGGCCGCACCGCCCCCATTGGCCGCGCCGGTGCGAGCGAGCGACGCCGACGTGCCGCGAGCCAATGGCGGAGCGGCTCGTGAGCTCGTCAGCGGTCGCCGGTCGGGCTCCGCTGCTCTTTTGAGAAGCCGCAGATCCCTTTGCCCGTGGCCCGAGGCCCCGCGCCTAGTTCTACCGCGGTCCCGGGGCCCGTGTCAGGAGGGAGGGCGAAGGGAGAGAGAGAAAGAAAGCGGGGGAAACTAGAGAAGGGACCCACAGGGATAAAAGGCAGGACAGAAGGGTTCGCCCGCGTTCTCACAGCGGAGCAGGGGAGGGAAAGTGCGGGAAGTGAAAGCAATGCGGCCGGCTGGCCTGTTCGGCCTCCCGTGCGGCCTCCCAAACACGCGCGGGACTAGTCTGAGGACCCTGAGAGCAGAGGAGGGGGCCCCGCAGGAACGAACCCGTGGGAAAGTGTGTAACCCCAGCAGCCGGAGCCCCGGCCGGGCGGGCGGACGGACTTCAAGCTCCGATTTCTCCCCAAAGGAGCTCAGGCACCGGGCGCCGGCCCAGCTCTGTCGCGGGGCCTTGAGGGTCCGCGTCCACCTCGGGGGGCGCCCCTCGGGAAGGGCTGGGGAAGCGGCCTCTGCTCAGACCCAGGGACCCAGTCCGGTCACCAGTCAGGTGCCGGAGGAAATGCCAGACGCTTTCTCCCGAGCAGGGGAGAGAAACGCCCAACAAGGCGCTCTGTCGCGGCGAGGGCAGCCGCGGCGTCAGGCCGCCGAGGGCTCAGAAGCTTGGGCGGCGGGTCCGCAGCGGCCCTGTAGCCACGTTTTCAATGTCCTCTTCCCCCCACTCTCCCTCCCCGCCATTCGGGAAGGAAACGGTCACTACGGACCCAGCGGGGGGCCGGTAGCGCGGCTCGACCGTGACGCCTCGTCGAAGGGATCCACTTGCATTATTCCCTCCGGGACGTCTCCAACCTGTCTCTTGTTGAATGTCAGAGTAATGGGAAGTGCCAGTGACAAGACGGCGTATTACTCCTGATTAAGTGCCGTGTCAACCTAATTAGCAGAGTAATTATAAGGTGCTAATGAATGATTCAAAGTTCTTTGAGTTACATTTTACTCCAAATTACCATTTTAAGAACCCTACGAATCCGAGTGGCTGGCATCAGTTCCGTGACTAGGTGCAGAAGGATGGAATAAAATGGTCTTTAACGTCTTCAAGGGCTGGGCGGAAATCTGGGGTTTAGCTGAGATTCGGACGCTCACTTTTTGGGGAGCAGCTTTTTTCCCCCTATTCAGGACCAGAAGGGGGGCAGGGGGGCAAACGACCTCGGGGGGCCGATGCCGCCCTTCTGTGGGCGCTGGGTCTGCGCGGCCCTGACCCGGAAGGGGGTGCGCGGGGGGTTCCTCCTCCCCGCGTTTTCCCGGAGAATTCGATGATTTTGGCCCGGAAAGGGCCCGCACTATTTCAAGGGTGCGTGGAGCTGTTTCTAATCTCTGTGCCGTTTTTTCCCCCCGGAGGTCTGTCTCTGAGGAGCTCTGGGGAAGACAGAGGCCAGGAGATGGACATTTCGGGCCGCTCCCGATTTTCTTGGGAAGGAGGGGAGTTTGGTGAGGAGCCGGGGCGGGCGAGCCGCGGCCCGACGCGCGGCCAGCGGCGGCGGGAGCCGCTCTGAGGGCCCAGGGGGCCCCTCCGGGGCGCCGGCTGGGGTCCAGCCCCTCTGGGCCGGGAGGCCGCGCGGGGCCTGGATGAAGCCTGGACCCGGCCCGGCCCCTCTGGGAGCCTGCGGGCCCGGCGTCGGCCTTCGGGCCAGCTGGGACTTTGGAGCCCGGGCCTCGGTCTTCGGAGGGCGCGTGCTGTGTCCAAGGCCGAGAAGCCCCTCACCCTCAGGCAGCGTCCCACGCCCCGGGCACCCTCGGCCTCTGTGGGCAGGGCTCCGAGGCTGTTCAAGCTGCAGGCGGTCGGTACACGTTCTTCTTCTTCTTCTTCCTGGTAACAGTCAGGGCTCTTTGCATTCAGACTTTGTCCACCAACTTCCCAAACGAAGCCTTTCCTCCCAAACCTGGCGCTCTAACCTGCCCTCCCCTCGCAGACTATTCTGGGTGGGAAGAGGGGAGGAGGAAAAACATTTAAGATCCAGAACTGAAGGCGCTGCACAAGTCACTTATTCTCGACCTTCATAAATAATTTATTTAAGCCTGTTTTTGTTTTGTTCTGATGTCTAAAATGACTCAAGAGCTCAAAAAACTGGGCGCACAGCTTGTGTTGGGTGGTTCGGCGAGATTTTTTGCTTGAAATAATTCACAGCATTAGCAGAAGACACAGAAATATGTCCCTATGGAAAAATGAAATCTAAAAAGGGAGGGGGAGGGGAAGGTGAAAGTGTGAGGCGAAAAGGGGGTGTTCGTTTTATGAAAACGCTAAAGCAAACAAAACAGAAGTTCTGCCCAGTAGGCCCCACTTCATGAATGGTTCAGATCCTGTTTTCTTAAGAAAAGGTTAAGATGATGAAAAAGTTCTTTGGGTGGAATGTTTGATCAGCTTTCCAGAGCAACAATTGCGAGGGGAAAGCAGGACCTTGACTTTTATCAAGGCGAGTCTCGTCTTTGGGTCCTACCAGAGAGGAAATGTTACTAGTGGCTTGAAGACCTACAAGAGGCACTGGAAGACTAAAACTAGATTAAAATCTTAATGAAAAACAAATTCTTCAGGGGTGGAGTTTTGTTACTTAATTTTCCACAGTTCTTTTTCTTTACAGACATTCCTCTTTTGCCATTTTTTATGAGAATATATATATATATATATGTATATATATGTATTTGTATATATATGGAGGGACAAATGTAGAATTTAGTTTATGGTTGCATTATTATTTATTAATTATTGTATTATTTTCCACATAAACAATTGTAAACCTACTTTTGTCCCACACTGTATATGCACCCGAGCAAACATAATTAACTTTTTATTTTAAAAAAAAATCAAAACTCAGAAATGGAACGGAGTGCAGATTAATTAATTTTCAATTCCCATGTATAGAAAAAGAAATGGATTGGCTGGATTTAATCAGATTTTTCCCCACTGGATTTATAATACAAATAAATATAGCCCCTAAATTGACATAAGTTTGAAAAGTATCTTTCACTTTCAGGCCTTCATTTCCTTTGAAATAAGACAAAGGAAAAGAAAATTTTTTAATTTTGGAGTATTTTAGAATTTTTACATCGAAAGCAGTTATTTGCCAACTGTGGATAATAGAGAACAACATTTCCTTCCTGGCTCCGAAAGACTTGTGAGTCCTAATCACTAAAGATGCTCCCTCCCCACCACAAAGTTTCAAACACTTGTGTACTTTAACAAGTTTTGTTTCTCAGTTCACTCTCAGAGGCTCACTTTTACAACCTGGATTTGGGGTTATGTGTAAACTGGAGCATCAGGTTTTTAAAAACAGAATCGAACTTTGAAGCAATTCATCTATGGATTATGAACGACTTTGAACTGGAGTTTCTTCCTATCACATTTTATTTGACTGGTTCCAAGGGTCCACAAGATGACAATGCCAACTGTCTGGCATGAGGTGCAAAGGCGCTTGTCTCCACTGGGCGGCGCCAAGAGCCCCAAACCAAGAGAGTCGGCTATTGTTTCTTTCTATATAAAAGATGCATGATACACAAGTGAGCTTTCCCTTTCAAAAGCTGATTCCCCAGCTATAGTGTGACTTCTCACCTTTTGAAAGCTACAGAAACATTGGACATTTTCTTTCTCCCCCACCCCAGTCTATCAATATATTTCAAACTGCCTAAAGGCTTGATGTGTATTTGCTTAGAAAAAAATTATGTAATAAAGAGAAAGACATGAAAACGCTGAAATTGAGTTACCTAATAGGCTGAAACCAGGAGACTGGAGGTTGGGAGCAGAGGGAGAAAGGTAAAGTGGAAGCAAACGAATAAGGTAACTGAAAACTGGGTTAACAGAAAAACAGGTCTAAAAGGACAGTCTATGCAATTATTAATTGTTCTAGGGAAATAAAGGATTCACAAGATCATTTTGGTATCATAATAAAACTTGTGAGAGTTATATGTTTCACCACAACTTTACAAATCAGCAGTTTGGAAGAGACTTAGCAGAGCTGGTTCTCCCTTGGGGGTCAGATGTGTGTTGTCACTAAGCAGTCAGCATGAAGGCAAGTAAATATGTAGACAAAAGAATGGTAAGAGGGGGAGTTTTAGTCTCATTTTTTGCCACTTTTCAATGTTCTTGAACGAGGCATTTAACCCTCCTGATCACCAACTTCCTTCTTAATTAAAGGGGTGAAACCTTGCCTAGGAAATG